TTCTCATTAACTTCACATCGTCTGCGAACAGGAACATCTCTGAATGTATCCCTTTGCCATGTCATTCACATACACAAAAAAGAGCACCGGACCTAAGACTGACCCTCCTGGAACCCCCACTCGACACATGCACCCACTCTGACACCTCGTCTCGTACCAACACACTTTGCTTCCTTCCTGTCAGGTATTCCCTGATCCATTGCAGTAATTTCCCTCCTATTCCTGCCTGCTTTTTTTTTTAGATTTTTAGCCAGTCTCTTGAGTGATACTGCGTCAGAGGCCTTCTTACAGTCCAAGAAGATGAAATCTATCAATCCCTCTCTCTCCTGTCTCACTTCTGTTACCCTGTCGTAGAACTCCAACAGGTTTGTAACGCAGGATTTCCTTTCCCTAGAACAGTGTTGGTTGTCTTGTATGAGCCCGGTCCTTTCTAGGTGCTACACCACTCTTCTCCTAATAATCTTCATAACTTCACGTACAGTACAAGTCAACGACACTGGTGTGTAAGTTATCGCAGCCTGTCTGTCTGCTTTCTTAAAAATCGGGATTACACCACCTCGGCTTGCTCTAAACCTCTCTGTCTCCACTGTGAATACCTTCCTGAATCGTGAACTGAGCTCTTCACATACTTCTTGGTCGTTCCCTGTGAGCTCCACTGCTTCCTTCCTTCCCCAGCCTGATTGCCTGATCCTCGACTGTTGTTTTCCTCCTGATATGGCTGTCTAACAACTTTGGGTCAGATTTGGCTTTTGATGCTATGTCATTCTCGTATTGACGCTGGGCTTCTCTCCTTATCTATGCATATTCATTTCTGACTCTTCAGCTCAGCTCCCTGTTTTCCTGGGTCCTTTGCCTTCTATACATTTTCCATACTCTAGCACACTTGGCTTTGGCCTCTCCACACCTCCGGGTAAAGCATGGGCTCACTCTGGTCTTCCTGTTGTTTCTGTTGCCCCTTGGTACAAACTTCTCCAGTGCCTCCCATCACTTTGTGGTCACGTGTCCCATCGTTTCATTTAATATATTTTGCTCTAGTTTACTTACCAACTGCACCTCATGTAGGAATTGCCTCATATCTGTGTAGTCCCCTTTTTGAAAGTCTGGCTTCTCCCGTCTTTTTCATACTGTTTCACTCTTCATTGTTAATTTTACTATGTATTCAAAACTCAGGACTACATGATCGCTAGCGCCTAGGGGCCTTTCTTGTGTAATATCCCTATGTCTGAACTGTTTAAGGTGAATTCGGGGCCCAGCCTTGCTGGTTCGTCTCCTCTCTGGATGTGTCCCTAACATGTTAGTACAGGAAGTTTTCCACTACAGCCTCCAGCCTCCAGCCTCTTGGCTCTCCACATCTCTGGTCCCCCATGTGGCTCCAGATTTTCCATCAGTCTCCTTATGGTTAACATCGCCCATGATGAGTAACTTTGCCCTACTCATGTGGGCCCTTCTGGCAACTTCGGCTAGTGTGTCCACCATCACTCTGTTGCTCTCTTCGTGTTCTTGTCTTGGCCTTCTGCTGTTTGGTGGTGGGTTGTACATCACTGCTATCATCACTTTTGAGCCCCAAGTTTAAAGTATTCCTACCTGTCTTTGTAATACTCATTTGTGCTTTATAGTTATCTGTTTACAATAATGTTTTATCACTGATTTCATCATTGCTTAGTTAATCTTAAGTTAATTTTAAGCCAGCCCGTAATGCTATGCATATAAGTGGCTTTGGCATGCTGCTCTTACCTATGTAGTCATCCACTACTCATCTGACTAATCCTCCCATCTCAAAACTCCATTGTTTTTTGATGAGCTGTGGAACTCTTACCCCTTTGTTTCCTCCGTCTTTCCTCAGTATCTGATATCAGATGGGAAGTCAGCATCTGTTATATAACAGATGCTGTTATGGGTTATAATTATCACCCCATGAGCTTAATCTCTGTGAATGTTATGATGTCCAGGGATGCCTCAGTGATTCCTGCCACTCCCCATTCTTATTTAAAATTTTATCTGTGTTGGTGTTCTATATCTTCAGTCTCCCTTCTAGAACTGTATTCTCGGGGGGAGGGTGGAAAACGTTGGTGCAGGCTGTTGGTGTGATAGGCAGGTCTGGATATTATGGGAGGCTGCTGTGGTGGTATTACTGCTGGAGGGAGACGACTGTGGGTGTGGAGTGTGGCTCAGTTCTGGTTATTGTGTTTTGTTGGTGTAGGATGCTAGGGATTGATGGTATGCTGTGGGTGGTTCCGTGGGAGGTCGTATTTGCTCTTCACCCCGAGCCTGCACTTCCATCTGTCGGTACCTGGCCTGTCCCCCCTTCCTTCCTCTGGTGCCTTCTTACTATTTCTCTCAGCTGTTCTTTTTTTTGTGCTCTGTCATGGTTGAGGTACCCTCGCTAGTGTTTTTGGGGACCGTTTAACATTGGTTTCCACTGCAGGATCTTGTTTCATGCTATTTCTTTTTGTGTGTGTGTGTATGTGTGTGTGTGTGTGTGTGTGTGTGTGTGTGTGTGTGTGTGTGTGTGTGTGGGTGTGTGTGTGTGTGTGTGTTTGTGTGTGTGTTGTGTGTGTGTGTGTTTTGCTCCAAACTGGTGCTACATACTCGAGGACTGGTCTTGCACAAGTGACGTACATCTTTTAGAACAATTCCCAGTATGTGTGTCTGAATGCAGCTTTCCATGTTCCAGTCTTGTACTTGTCGCTGATTTTTACCCTGATATATGATACGATACTCGGGAGAGAGGTTAGGAGTAATATCTCGATACCTGTACCTACTTCCCTATCAGATGGAATGGTGTCCTCGGTCTCCTCTCCCCATCTTCATCACTTTAAAATTATTGCAATTAAACTTTATTAACCACTTGTTGGATCATTCCAATCACATCCTCGTCAGCTTTGGATCGTATACAGATGAATCAGTTCCTATGATATGATCCACCAGGAGCCCTGGTCACAGACCGGGCCGCGGGGGCGTTGACCCCCGGAACTCTCTCCAGGTAAACTCCAGGTAATATCAGAAATAGTATGATACCCAGGAATGTTTATTATGGAATACTACTGCGACTTCTCAATGTCTTAGAAGACTCCATCCCTCTCTGTCTTTCTTTCTCTCTCTCTCTTCTCCTCTCTCTCTCTCTCTCTCTCTCTCTCTCTCTCTCTCTCTCTCTCTCTCTCTCTCTCTCTCTCTCTCTCTCTCTCTCTCTCTCTCTCTCTCTCTCTCTCTCTCTCTCTCTTGCGTCTTTTCAATCAACTTGCCTTTTAAATACATATCTGAAATTGCATTTTTCTCTTTCTATTTAAATCTACAGGAGCATAATTAAAATCGTGACTTCCCGTCTTATGTTCTGCGTATAACTTATCATATAATGTTTGAAGGTTCCCAGTAGTTGCAGCACTTGCTACCTCCTCTAGTATCCATTTCTTTCTAGTAACCTTAGGGCATCATTGCTCTCTTATATAATTATTTATTTGGCTATCATGTCTCTATTCCTTTAATCAGACATTGAGGATAAGTCAAATATTCCTTCATACTTCCGAATATTCCCTCATACTTTCTTCCTAGCTCTGGAATTTAGGAAAAATGAATAGTGAATGGAGGATCGAGCCTCAACTCTAGCTTACGCTGAATAACTCTTAAAGGTTTGGCGCTTCATATGAATATGATAATCTGGAAGATATTCTATACCTCTCTGAACCTTCACCAGCTTGTCCGTGTTTTTTAGGAACCGATATCATCTCAGAGGCGCAGACACTTCCCTATAGCTTCTCAAACAAATTTTGGTTGTGAACAATTATTGTTTTTTTTTTTTTTTACTATTTCGCCCATCCATATATGTAAAAGTTATTTTAAAGGTAGCCAGTGACGCTTACTGATGTCTTACACTTTCAGTGTGATCTTCCTGTCGCAGTCTTGTTTCTCTTTATCCGAAGGTTCAATGTTTATTCAGGCAATTCATGCCTCATATAGTCTGTATTCTTATTCTTCCATTTCCATTATGAGGCACTCTCCTTTTGTGTATTGTGTGTGTGTGTGTGTGTGTGTGTGTGTGTGTGTGTGTGTGTGTGTGTGTGTGTGTGTGTGTGTGTGTGTGTGTGTGTGTGTTTACTTACCTTTTGTGGCTTCAAAGGCCGAGTCTTGGCTCCTGGTCCTTCCTCTTACACTGGCCGAAACAGGGTTAACTCCTGGCTTCTTAGGCTCTATCATGTCTAATATTAGAGCTGTGGATAGATCCTACTTCTACTACTTCGTTGTCTTGTTCATTCCACCTCCTGATTACTCTGAGGCTGAAAATTTTCTTCCTAGCTTCCCTATAACCGATTTGTATTTTTAACTTCTATCAAGCCCTCGTGTACCTGTTTATTCCTCTCTAACATCCAGTACGTTTTTACCTTTCAATACCTCTTAGTATTTTGTACGTCGTTATCACGTCTTTCCTGGTCCTTCTGTCCATTATTACCAACAGGCTGAGCTCTTTTAGCCTCTCCTTATAACTCATATGCAAACCTCTGTACATTTTCTAGTTTCTTGACATGCTTAATCAGGTGTGGGTTTAATGCTAGTGTTGTACATTTTAAGACAGACCCGCCATATATCATGTATATTGTCGTGAATGATTATTTAGATTCCTAGGGGCTAATCTTAAATTTTCCTAAGATGCATGTGCGGCAGAGCATATTCGGTCGATATGTGCCTTAGGCAATAAGCTCGGTACTATGCTCACCTTGAAGTCCTACTGCTTAAGTAAGGTTTGCAGCCTTTCTGATACCCCCTCCCCCAACGTGTCAGCTATATAGCTAGCTTATCACGTATCCACCACATATCTAGCCTTCCCCACATCCCACATATGACTTACCTTACCCACGTCTAGTCTCACGTGTCTAGCTTCTCTAGTATTTACCCACACCCATGTTAAGCCTCACCCGTGTCCCCACATGGTTAATCTTTCCAGTCTCACATGTCTAGCCTCACCCGTGTCCTCCACATGCCTCTCATCTCCAACATCTCCGCCACAG